CCAATTCTCAATGAATGTTCGCGCCACCGTTTCTGTATAAGCATCACGTAAAGGCACGGCAAGTGGCCAACGCGTATAATGATCAACACATGTCAATAAGTAGACAAAACCGTTGGATGGAGGTAAGGGTCCAACGATGTCAAGATGAACATGTTTGAAACGAGCGTCGGGAAGAGCAAACGTGACGGGGACGGTAATCGTGTGACGGTGGATCTTGCTGGTTTGGCAAGTGATACAATATTTGGCCCACTGCTGGATCTCGGAGCGCATGTTGTGCCAAATGAAGCGATCAGTAATTAGCTTGACGGTGGCTCGGATGCTCGGGTGTGAGATTCCATGCAGGTAGTCAAAAACGATTCGGCGGTACTGCAGAGGGACAAAAGGCCGGGGCTTGCCAGTAGAAATATCACACTAAATTTTTGAGTCTGAGTTAAGGATTGGCAACTGTGATATTTTGATCGACGGATTTGATCTCAGTTGCACAAACTCAGGTTTTCCTTCCTGATGAGCTGCTATGTCTTCTAAGTTAATCTTCTGCCGTGAAACTTCGTGAAGACATATACGCGACATGGCATTGGCGACAACGTTATTGGCAGCATCGACATGGCGAATGTCGGTAGAAAACTGTGAAATATAATCCAAATGACGAATTTCTCTGGGGGAGAAACGGTCGGATGAACCACGGAAAGCGAAGGCAAGTGGTTTATGTTCTGTAAGAATGGTAAAAGTGCGACCTTCAAACAGGTGCCGAAAATGTTTGATAGCGAGATAGATAGCTAAAAGTTCTCGACCGGATGTGCTGTATGGCGTCTGTGCTGGCTGGAGTTTACGAGAGAAAAAGGATAGCGGCTCAGGTTGACGGTTGATTACCTGCTGGAGAACAGCCCCAACGGCGGTCTGAGATGCATCAGTCTTGAGGATCAGAGTGGCGTCAACATCAGTCCTCAAATGACTAAGCGCGGTAGCGTTGGACAACGAGTGCTTGATCTTGTCGACTGCATCAATAGCTTCCTGAGTAGGCTCGAATTTTCGTGACTTGCCTTTAAGTACATCGGTCGATGGCTGGAGTAGCCCACAGCAGACTGGTATGAAACGGCTGTAGTAATTCACCATGCCGAGAAAACGACGGAGACTTTTGAAAGATTGAGGCATGGGGTAGTCTGCAGTCGCTTGCGCTTTCTCGGGGAGTGGACTAATGACATTGCAATCAATTCGATGGCCCAAAAACTCAACAGAACTTTGGCCAAAAACACATTTGTCAACATTGATCGTAACGCCGTACTGAGCAAAGCGTTCGAAGATCGATCGGAGATGTGACAGATGCTCATCATGATTGGAACTGGCCACAAGAATATCGTCAATGTAGGCGTAGACGAAATCGAGCCCTCTAAGAACTTGTTCGATAAACCTTTGGAAAGTCTGTGCGGCATTTCGTAGACCAAATGGCATGCGAACAAATTCATAAAGACCAAATGGCGTGGTTATAGCGGTCTTCGGAATATCGTCTGGAGCAACCGGAATTTGGTAGTATGCACGCACCAAGTCAATCTTAGAGAAAACTGTTCTTCCATGTAAACCAGTTGAAAAATCATGGATATGCGGAACCGGATATCTATCGGGGATGATGGAATTGTTTAGTGCACGGTAATCTCCGCAAGGTCTCCAGTCGCCACTGGACTTTTTGGGAACCATATGAAGCGGGGAGGACCATGGGCTATTGGAAGGACGAACGGTACCGAGACGGAGCATATGTTCGAACTCTGCCTTGGCAGTAGCGAGCTTGTCTGGAGGTAATCATCGAGGTCGGGCGGTTACTGGCGGCCCGTGTGTTAAGATGTGGTGCGTAACTTCGTTCTTAGTCTCAGAAAAGTCATTAGACGATTGACAAAGAGCAGGAAACTGCAGTAATAGTTTGGTAAACACACTGTCAGCGGGCAATACCAAGCGAAGACCGATCGAACTGATCGAAGTGACTTTACCCGAAACGGACAGGGATGTCAAACTATCGCATAGTTTACGGTTACGCAGGTCCACGATCAGGCCAAACTTGGTGAGGAAATCAACACCAAGGATGGGGCGTTGGACGTCAGCGATGAGGAAAACAAAGGGAAATCTTCGACGAAGACCAAAGTTAAGAGTCAACATTTTCTGGCTGTATGTATGGATCTTGGTATTGTTCTCCGCCTGCAATGTCGGTCCGGTTGGAATTAGGTTGCGTTTTTCTGCAGAACGAGGAATAACGCTGATCTCGGCACCGGTGTCAACCAAGAAGTTCAAATTGGTTGAGGAATCGTAGACGTAAAGTAGACGACTGTAAGATTGGCCAGACGCAGTCGTCGCTATCACTTGCTGGCGTGGAGGTTTCCCTGCTGCGGTTTGTGGAATGACTTCGGATGTTTACAACCAGGTCAACAATTCCTTGCACCATCGCCAAAACGGTGGTGGTACCAACAGAAATGACGTTTCGAACTCCTAGCGGGACTACGTTTACTTCGAGAGGAGCGTCTAGGGCTTCTACCAAGGTAGCAATTAACGCTCGAGATGGCGAGCTCCAGCTTCGATAACCTCTTAGAAATGGTTTCAATCGGGTCAGTCTTAAGATCGGCGTTAGCGGTCGACTCAACTGCGTGACATGCTGAGGGTTTATGAAAGTACTCATGAACTTTGTCTGCTGTTTCAGCCAGCTTGTCCAAAGACAAATCATCTGCGAAGAGGGCGAGAAGAGCTGAGGTGTTCGATGGAAGACATTTCGTCCAGAGCTGTCGCAGAATCGTGTCGTCGACGTTAGAGTAACCGACCACAGTACGCATGTGCCTGAGAAGTTGTGACGTTGTGCGATCACCTAGTTCAAGACCGGAAAGTAATTGTTGAAGTCTTGCTTCGTCGGAGGCCGTGGTGCGCTTTAATACGGCGGCTCTGAGTTTATCGTAAGGTGCGTCAGCCGGAATCGGATCGAGCAAATCTACAAGGTCAGTTGCGATGTGGGTAGGAAGCTGGGCAGTGACATGTGCGAACATTAAGGACTGAGAAGTAATCCGGCTTATGCGAAAAAGAGCTTCCAATTGTCAAAAGCACACGTGAGGATTAGATGAATCGAAGTCAGGGAAGGAGAAACCAACAAATTTTCTGAAATGTCATTGCGGGGATCGTGGTCTGACATAGTCAAGTTATCAAAAAAAGGAGTTCTGAGCTTTAAAAAAACGAAAACGGGGTCACCAAATATGTAGTGGAAAGGCCAAACGGAAAGTGCTTAACTACGTATAAGAACTCAGTCTATAAATAAGAATGCTGTAGCTGACCTTAGGTAAAGCACGATCTTCGCTAGGCTGTCAGTTAGTCGCACAATCTGATCGGAAGACGGAACTTAGTCGGCACAATAAATCGACGCGTTAGGTCCGATGATCGATGGACGAGGCCAGCAGACAGACAACGATAAACAGCACAACACGCGGAGCCGAAACCAGAAGGTGAATCGAAACCCGAAAAAGTGTGTTATCGGTTGTTGATCAGTTAAAACAAAACTGTACAATAATAATGGCAATGAGAATAGGAAAGTACAATTGAGAAGAAAGATATGTACAAGCGCTACAAATTCTTTACTCAGATTCTGCCTCCCTTGATTCATTCTAATAGACGGATTTAGGTATAATTTGATTTGGTCCATCGAATTAGCTTCCAAGCCGCATAAGTAAGCTACCAATCCGAAAAAGCACCAGATCCGAGTTTTGCCTTATTGGGGCCTGTCATTGGTGCGCATCCATCGGTCCCCTACTAGGGATCGAACCCATGACCGCTAGAGGCTAACGCCAATTGGCCAGCAGCTTGTGCCACTGAGCCATGGGGAACGACAGCCGACCATTACGAACTGAAAGCTGACTGTGATATAGCCCGACCCATCCTTCACTGCTGTGCAGGATATTGGCCGTGCAGAGGACAGTGGTTAGCCGTCAAGGTCAGGTCTTGACTTGTCAGCGTTGTGAATCCACACAGCACTTTTGATTACTGGTAGGGCTTAGCTCACTGATTAATAATTATTAGACGGATTTGGATAGGATTTGATTTTGTTCAAAATTGTTGTGTGTATTCACGGCACTGGCAATGGAAGACCAGAACTTGACGGTTAACCACTGTCCTCTGCAAGTGCAGTAACCTGCACGGCAGTGAAGGAGGGGTTGGGCTATATCGCAGTTAAGTTTCAGTTCGTAATGGTCGGTTGTCGTCCCCCATGGCTCAGTGGCATAAGCTACTGGCTAGCTGAAGTTATCCTCTAGCGCTCATGGGTTGGATCCCCAGTAGAAGACAGATGGTTTCACACCACGGACGATCTCAATAGGGCTTTTCCTGAATGGATGCCTTCCATGCTGCTTGGAATCTAATTAAGATTTACTTTTGGTTACTGAGGAACTGACCTGCTTTGTACTAGCGCACAAGGCCTTATTAGTAAACTGGTCGAACTGCATCAATGTCAAGCATCCGAGTCTCGAGATATCATGATGCGCACTGATACGTGGCTGAACTGTGCAATTGCCGCCGCTGAAATCACTCTATTCGCTGTGTTTCTTCTTCGTAACGACAGAACTTGAAGGGGAGGGAAGTGATAATTTATTACAAATCAAACCTTCGTTGTGCGCCCATAGAGGATCCTCAAGTGTGTGTCGCTGTTCCCCTTTCATGCAAACTGTGATTGAAGCACGACGATACATGCTTCGTGTCCGTAGTGTGCCGACCACCAAAATTCACTCCGGAGATGGGCCACAGACTATTATCGCATTTCGCCCGTATCCTCATCACAGAGGATTTCAAAATTCATAATTTGGAAACTCCAGCAACTGAGGCTGAACAGTTTATGGTCTATTTACAAGATCTAATCTATAGCACACCCCTATGCAGCCACAGCACCAATCCCACCAGGTTCAGTACAGCGAATAAGCAATTAATGTTAGACCTAGTGCTCATCAGTGAGGAGCACGTGGTTCATGGGTTAAATGTATGCAGTCCTCCGGGTCGAAGCGATCACATGACGCCACTGTTCGAGTACATGTGCTAGGCTGAATATGGTGATGAAGAGAAGGAAAAGATGCAATCTATTACGTATTATCACGTTTTGTCCGCATTCGTTGAAAATGCTAGTTGGACATTCATGACTGAGTACACCACAGAGATAGCCTGGGGAAAATACTTGAAAACCCTCAGGTCACTAGTCAGCAAAACTTTAAAGCCAATAGCCTTTCATCGTCCCCTTACACCGAAATCCTTTCTGAGAAGCCGGGACACGAAAATTTATGGCCTTGAGGAATTGGACCTGGCACCTTTACAAAAACCGTCTCAGAGTAAAAACTTGTACAGCGTACGTTGATCAGCGAAATTATTCCTTACAGTTGGTTTCTGAAGACAATCTATCACACCAACCGGAGCTATGGAACGAATCTGTGCAAACTAAAGCTTCTTTACATACACGCGAATGGACTTCGAAAGGTGCAGCTCGTATTCCCACCACTGACTACGCTTGGTAGGAATGCATACAAAGGCAGCCAACACCTTAAGGACTCAGTACGTGTCTACTTTCTAATGAATACAAGCCTCAAACCTTATACTTGCTCCTATCACTACACCATCAGTGTTATCCATCATCACATTCACAGCAGAAATTGGGGTGAAAATTTACTATTTTTGCATATGTACAACTCTCCAAGTGTGGAGAACATTCACTCTGAGCACGGCACTTAGCAGCCATGCACCTAGCCAAACCCCCTGCCTGATTCGTTCAGGGTTGTTTAGACGAAAACATAGTTTCATCAACGTGGAAATTTAGTATCATAATCCTCATTCACATTGGAAGAAGTCGGTCTGATAATGATAATTACCTTCTGGTACTACTTCTTTCTGTGCACGCCAATGTCATGGAAGCGATCATCGCGGAGGTACGGTGGGGTTACCTCTAAAGCTTCGGCAGCAGAGCGCCGAAGCAGCATGGATTTCGTAGACATCGAGCATGTACTGCCAACCTGCTGATAGCACGCGAAAATTGGACCGAATCATTCGGTGCAGGGACAGGAATCGATGCTATCTACTTGGACCTTTCGAAAGCGTTCGGTCGATGGAACCATCCAATCCTCCTGCACAAACTAGCTCTACCATGTAATCCAGTATTAGGATAGGTTGGTGACTTTCTGCGCGAATGGGAATTGGGGGTTAGAGTCCGAACTCATCTATCCGACTCGATTCGAGTAGAGCGCGGTGTACCGCAGGGTCGAGTACTTGGACCGCGCTTGTCCTTAGTTTTCACCAACCATCTAGCGAGAGCTATGATCGCAAAACTTTTACGTTTTGCGAACGACATTAAAAGTTGGCTGGGGGTCAACGGAATGAACAACCACGAGGTCTTCCAGTGCGACTCGATGAGGCCAGGCACTGGTCGGTGAGGAAGGCATTTCTATTCAATGTGGACAACGGCCGCCTTGTCCACATCCGCCGTAGACAAGCATGTCACTACAAACTTGGGGTGCAAGATCTGCAGACAAGTCCTCAGGTACGTGACCACGGTGTGCTGTTACTGGACGACCTCGGTTGTTCCAGGCAGGCAGCATCTGCTTTACAAAACGGTAACCAGCAAGTTAGTCTCTTAGGGAGGGCATTTAAGAGTTTGAATTCATCCAGCTTCTCTCTATGCACAAGGATCACGTGCTTCCCCACGGCGGGTACGCTATTCAGGCTTGCCATCCATGGCCTTGCGGCACTCGAAACTCCCCAACGATCAGCACCAAAATTGTCAAGGGATTGCGCAACCATCCATTCCAGCAGCGACTAAAGACACTCAGTGTGTTCAATGGACGTTGCTGGCGGCTACGTGAAGAGTTTATGGTTGTCTACCCGATACGGAGCGACCTCACTCACGTATGCTGCCACCTACTGAAACTCAGCCCGAACACCATGCTCAGAGACAATGACCTGAAACTGAATCAACAACACAGTCATCTCGATTGTCGACGAAATTACTTCTCCCTCCTGGTCTGTTAACTCCGGAATGCCCTTCCAAACTCCACTGTCTGTGCCCCCACATTAGCTGTTTTCATACGACGATTGGATATCGAATTGAACGTTCTACACTTTGTTACTTGAAGGGATATTCTGTATTTATTCTGGCTAACTAGCCATTTTGGAAGCAGGACCCAGATTGACGTACGTAAATTGGTGCAGAGGTTTAAGCAATCTGCTTTCACTCGCTACAACATTTCATTTGATTTTGCCTCTATTCTCTCACTCCCATAACCGTTTCGTGTAAGTTACTTACTTTATCGCTTTGCCCTTGCGCATTTTAGCTGGTCCACTTATGTAATATATAAATTTCAATTTTCCCTATTACCAACCTACAGGACACGTTAAGCTTGTCCTATAATACCTGTCCCAAAACATTGTTCAATTGTACTTATTGAAACCGTAGTCGTTTCGGGCATTCAGCCAATAAATGCACCAAACACTGCTACTTCTGTCAAACACAGCCACCAGTTCCAGCCTTCGGGAAACGAACAGGCCAGACGATAGAGGAGAGCACTGTACTCGACCAACCGCAAACCAACTCTCACCGACTCATTGTTCTAGAGCAGACCACCGGTTTCTGTTTTCCTGTCGAAACTGGTGTTGAAATCAGCGTAATACCATCAAGCAGCTCTTTTGTTAACTGCACCCCATCCTCGATGTGCGTAACAGCAGCTAATGGGACCAGTATTAAATCTTACAGTCAACGAGCCTTACTACTCAGCTTTAGTCAACGGCGACAACTCGGTTGGATATTCGTCATCGCGACGTACAGCAACCTATCTTATGAGTAGATTTTCTGACACATTTAAAACCGTTAGTGGATCTACGAGGCCAGCATTTGCTAAATGCCTACACACAGCTTATCGTTCCATGTAACACAGTGTGTACCCCATCCATCTGTCCTATAATCATTTTGTCACAGAACACTTTTCCATACTATGTGCTTCTTCACAGCTTCCCAGATCTATTGAAACTAAATTTTTATCAACCGAATACTACACTTCCTGTATGTCGCCAAATCACTACCAGTGGTACTCCAGATTTCTCCCTTCAACGACGTCTCCATTCAGGAAGAATAAAAATACTGTGAGTTACAAAACATGCACCGACTGAGAATAATTCTACCATCACAAAGCATATGGGCAACATTGTTCCAGATGGTTTCAAAGAAGACAAAATCCGTTTTCAGATTTTGTGTCGACTAAAGAGGACGTAACCGTACCTCTATTTCTGATAGGTACCCCATTCCACACATTCACGAATTTTCTTCTCGTCTTCTTTGGTGTATTTGTTTCTGACCTATTTACGTCACGCGCTTATCATTATGTACCTATTCATTCTGCTTATGTTCATTAGGCGTCAACCAGACAATTAGATAAATATGCATGTCAGTTGGTTTATGTAAGGCTGCACAAACATTTCAAACGGTTTTTGATCAGGCACTTTCAGGGCTACGTTTTATCATTGCCAAATTAATGATATTATGATTGAAAGTGAACACCTGGAATATCTAGAACTATTATTCACACGTCTCACCGAGTACGGAGTGGTTATCAACAGTAACAAATGTACCTTGGTTTATATCCCTTGAACTTTCTTGGTCACACCTGTGGTGGTTATTAATATTTCACATTTTTGCTTTCCTATCATCAATTTTAGCAGGACACCTTTTGTACAGTTTGTTTGAAGTAATGAAAAATATGTAGACATCTTGGTTGTCCGCGCTCCGTCCTGCTGATTTTTGGCTTTCTGCTTTTGTGTGTGTACGGTACCATTCGGTCTGCTTTCGAATCGGAGATTAGACTCGGAATTACTACCGAAAGTCTATTTCCGTCGTACTCGACGTGTGTCCCTGGTATAGCATAATCTACGATTCGAACTCAACTGCGATTAGACTGTGTTGGTTATTTCCGGAAGCTTTGCGCTTACTAATGGACTGAAACGTTCCTAGTATCCTATTGACCACTACATAACTTAGCAACCTCGCGTTATTTTTTGTGAACACGCAATTTTCTTAGCCAAGTCTGGTCAGACCCCATGTGTTTTACTGACAATTCCGTCGAAATTTCGTTTCCTAATTTTTACATTTCTAATCCACGTGTACGCATTATTCACGTAGAAGCTACTTGTCTAGGTCGAAGGAGCATTTCACCATCTTCCATGTTCTCATATGTCATCTCGCACTCACCTATATCCATTGCATTGAAGTCTTTGATACCCATGATCCTATGCCTGCAGAACCGCCGTATGATAAACATAAAGAAGCTATCCTTAAACGAACCATTGCGTCTGATGAGACTCATCTGCAATAGTTAATTTCCGGCGTCAAGCTTAGCAATCATACCACATGTTTGCTTCTTAGACGCGTGCGTTCCCTAGTTGGTTCGACGAAACTCGACGACTCCATACTCAACCTACTTTGGACGAAACGCCTTCCGGCAAACATCACAGCGAATTCACCAAATTTTACCGACGATATCACTACGGAAAAACTCACAGAAGCTGCGTACAAAACGCACGAATGTTTCTTTAAGAATACTTAAACAAGTAGCAGAGTCCACCGCAGCCAGATTATCCCATAGCACTACGCTTGATTCGATCAACGCTAGATTCTCCCATCTAGAACTCTGCATGTCTGCTATCCGACGTGAACGCACTACTGACCGAAGAAGTCCTCGTGGTCCGCACCGCAGCACATCAAGCTCACCGCAACTGTCGCACTAATAATTCCAACGTCGCTTCGGTAAAGCAGCACGTAACTGTCACCCGGGATGCAAAAATCCGAAAGGAAGTCCGATTTCGCAACCGGGAAAAGCCAAAGGCAGCCAGTAATGGCGACGGTTCTCGCTGGCCGAATCCTCAGTCGCCTTCTGTACGTGTTCGACTCCACGACTAAACTTTATTTTTTGGTCGATACGGGCGCAGTAATCAGCGTTATACCACGATATTTGAAAAAACGAGCTCTGCAGCAAGCCGGACTTACGTTACAGGCGGCTAACCAGATTAAGACCGCGACATAAGGCCAGAAGCTGTTGCACGTAAGCCGCGGCTTACGACACGAATTTACCCTTATTTTTACCATCGCAGAAATCCAAAAGCCCATAAGTGGCAGCGGCTTAGTTAGTAAATTTGGTCTCGTGGTCGGTTTACGTTGCAGGAAGTTACGGGATGACAGCACTTGGCTCACCGTCCCTTGCCATCTCGCCCCAGGCACTTCCGTCGAACTTCGCGTACTCATGCCAGACACTACGCCGTATTCATCACTGCTTCAGCAATTCCCGTCTTTGGTCCGCTCTAATACCGAATCTACCGAGCCTAAACAAGAGCTACGTTATCAGGTCGTCACAACGGGCCCACCCATGTCAACCAAACCGAGACGTCCTCCACTTGAAAAGCTCCAAGCGGCTAAAAGTAAATGCGACCATATGCT